GGCAAACGTCGGATTACCCTGAGACGCTGAGGTCCACGGGGGGAGGCGGCGACATCACACACCTCATTCCCGATGCTGCCATGCAGGACCCCCCGCATCATGCGAGAGCTGGTGGAAACCATGCGGATCATGGCGGAAAGGCAGGAGGCCGATGACTTCGTGTACTCAGCCAACACGGAGCACACCCCCTTTTCTCTGGTCAGGCATATGGAGCCACTCGACGACAACACGGCGGAATCCGGAGGAACCCGGCCTTCTGTATACACACGGATGGGCGGGGCACCCCGCTTCCGTGGCAGGGGCGCGCGCAACGGGGCGGGAACCTCCGGGCGAGGGGCGGACACCAGGACCCGCACCCCGAGCGTTCCATACAGCCATCAGAACAGGGAGCCGACCCCACTGAATAGCAACGTGGGCGCACGCTTCCTGAGGCATGGGAACCACATCGCCAGACGGCAGCACGTCGCAGTTGCTGTAAATGCAAACGTTGCCCTCGAGGCCGCCCCTCCTGTGTCCCCCGGAAGGGCCGCACAGAAGGCCCGAATAGAGGCAATGGAATGGCGGATAACCGAAATGGATAGACGGACGGAGATATCTCCGGCCACGCCCCGCTATTCCCTCACATCGCCTTTCACCCCGCGAGTCATGAACGCAGAAATCCCGAGGGATTGTAGGCCACCGGGCGGCGTGGTGTACAACGGAACCGGGGATCCCAAGTCCCACCTAATCAGCTTCCAAGGGAACTTGTCCGTGTTGGGAGCATCGGACGAAGCTATCTGCATACTCTTCTTCAGCACCCTGCGAGGTCCAGCCCAGGAATGGTTCGGGCAGCTGAAACCCGGGACCATCGACACATACGAGCAGCTATCCCAGCAGTTCATGGCGCAGTTTGCCACCAGCACGACCCCCAAAAGGAGCTTCACGTCCCTCACTAGCGTGAAGCAGGGGAAAGACGAACCTCTGGCCAAATTCTTGGTCAGATGGAGAGATGAAGTCCTACAGGTCGATGACCTGGATGAGCGGCTGGGTGTTAACATGTTCACCAGCGCCTTGGCCACAGGGGACCTATATCGGGACCTCCGGAAGAACCCTGGAACCAGCTACACCGAGGTCCTGGCACGGACCCAGAAGTATGCCTCTATTGAGGAGGAGATCAGGTTGAGGGACGGAGCGCCCGCGGCTCCATCTCGAAGATCGGCCGATAGGCTCAGCCCCGCGCCCGGGCCTCCCCCTCCAAGCAAGAAAAAGAAGACGGACGGGGCCATGACCCCATGGAGGCCACGCCCCGAACCAGGCCACGTGCATCCTGAGGACTATCATGTTCCTTTGGCTTATCCCGTAAGCCAAATCTTCGAGGCGATCTGAGACAAGGGCCTCCTAGAAGCTCCTCAGGACACCAAGGCGCAAATGGGCCGAGATGAGACCGCCTATTGCGAGTACCATCAGAAGACCGGCCATTTAACTGACAACTGCAAACAGTTAAGGATGGCCATAGACGAGCTGGTCCGCCAAGGGTACCTGGGCGAATTCACACAGCTCCTGACAAAGAACAGCAAGAGGCGTCCATACCAAGGGAACAGAACTTGGCAGCGTGAGGACCAGCACGAGGACGAGCCCAGGGGCGACGATTATTAGAGGGCCGATAAACGCCCCGAGGGATCCCCGGCTGTAGATGAACGACGAGGGAAGAAGAAGCTTGAGGTCAAAGTGATCTTCGGGGGGACTGAAACGGGGGACACCCCCACAACACGGAAGAAATTTGAGAGATCCCTTTACATGGGCTCCATATCAGCTCCCCCCGCCAAGAAAAACAAGATTGAGGCCATCACCTTCGGGCCGGCTGACCTGCTAAAATCGCCGGCGCTGCACAGGGATGAGCTGGTGATCAGCATGGACGTCAACAACGCCCTCATTCGCCGCGTCCTTGTTGATACCGGCAGCATCGTGAATGTCCTCTACTGGGACGCGTTTGAAAGGATGCGCCTGAAGAAGGAGCAACTGGCTCCTCTGCGTACCCCGCTAGCCGGATTCACCGGAGACTGCATTGATGCAGAGGGCACCATCACCCTCCCCGTAAAAGTCGGGGATGGGCCGCACATCGCCCGGATCAGCATGACGTTCGTCGTGGTCCGCCTAAAGTGTGCCCACAACGCCATTTTGGGTCGGCCCGACCTCGAAGATCTGGAGGCCATATGCTCCGTACGACATTCATGCATTAAATTCCCCACCGAGACCGGAGTGGGGGTGGCCCGTACGGACCCGCATATGGCAAAGGCTTGTTACATGAAGGCCATGGAGAGGCTGGACGAGCGTGAAGCGCGAGTCAATAGCATCTCCGAGACCGCAAGACGGGCTGATCTCGAGGCTCGGCCTGAACCAGCCACACTTCTCGAAGAGGTGGAACTGGACGACCCGACGGACAGGAAGGTGTCCATCGGGGCTGACCTCGAGCTCATAATTAGAGAAGGGGTGATTTCCGTCCTCCAGAAGTTTAAGATCTTATTTGCCAGAGGGCCGGAGGACATGCCGGGCATCGACCCAGACATTATTTGTCCAAGCTCGCCGTACGGCCCGATGCCAAGCCGGTTCAACAAAAGAAGAGATACATGGCAGCCGATCGGCGAAACTTCATTAAAGTAGGGACTGTGACGCTCCTCAGCATCGGGCACATCCGTCCGGTCATCCACGTGGAATGGTTGGCAAACGTAGTGCTAGCCCCGAAGGGCGACACATGGCGGATGTGCGTCGATTACTCGGACCTCAACAAATCTCCAAACTCTTTTAAAGCGAAAAGCGTCCAAAAGCGATGACCTTGGGCTTTGCTTAAAAGCGAAAGCGCTAAGCGAAGCGTAGCTTTCTCACAAAAAGCGATGCTTATAAAAATAAAAGAAAATACAATATATAATGTATAATTATGCCAAAAATACACATACATGTTTCACAAATATTTAATCGAGACATCAAGCCAGTGTACAAAGACCAATTGAGGCTTATAACCAATACAAACTGGAAGAAACTACAAATTAGTTAATCAATAATAAGGAACAAACTGGACTGAAGTAAATCAAGTAATAAACTCAAAATTATTTCATCAATAAACTAAAAGGAATAAACTAGAATAAACTAAAATTAATTAATCGAGAAACTAAAATGAATAAATTGGAATAAACTTAAATTTAATTAATCAAGAATTCAGATTGATATTTTCGTAAGAAAATTACTACATTAATACTTGATAGAATAATAGGTACAATTACTGCCAAGAAAATGTAAGATCAAGATTTTCAAAAAAAATAGAGAGCTGCGGAATTTGAACTAAAATTCTGGATGAAAAGCTCTGGAGAACAATATGGATGAATTAGAACAATCTGGAGAACCTGCAAGAAAATCTTGATGAAATAGAACTTGGAGTCACCTGCGGCTTGGAGTCACCTGCGGCTTCTTCAGACTGAACGAGGAGAGGATACGAGAAGACTTCCGCAGCTCACTCACCGGCTTCTTCAATCGCAGGCTGTGACTTCTTCAGTCCAATGGGAGGGTGGAAATAGTCGAACTGGTAACCTTAGCGTAGCGACTAAACATAAAACTTAAAATAAAAAATTTGACCGATCAAAGCCCCCAGAAACCTGAAGGACGTGCAGAGACTAACCGGGCGGCTGGCAGCACTCAGTCGTTTCATGTCCAAACTGGCCGATAAGGCGATTCCCTTCTTTCAGATCATGAAGAAGGCGAATCCCTTCGAATGGACCCCGGAGTGCCAGACGGCCTTCGAAGATTTCAAAGCATACCTCTCCTCCCCGCTCGTCCTCACAAAGGCGGACCCAGGAGAGCAGCTGTACATGTCCCTAGCAGTAGCAGATCTTGCGGTAAGCTCCGTGTTGCTGAAAGAAGAGGGTGGCGTCCAGCGGCCAATATATTTTGTAAGCAAAGCGCTGAACGGCCCAGAAACGAGGTATACACTGATGGAGAAGACAGTCCTTGCTTTGATAGCATCCATCAAACGCTTGGCGCCGTATTTCCAGGCTCATCCAATAACAGTGTACACCACGCAGCCCCTCGCCACAGTTCTCAGAAACCCCATGGCTAGCGGAAGGATTACCAAGTGGTCCTTGATGATCGGCCAGTATAATGTGGATTTCAAGCCAAGGCCGACGATCAAGGGGCAAGCACTTGCAGACTTCATAGCTGAGTGCACCGCACGCACCGAGGACAGCTCCCAGGACGCCAATGACTTCGACAACTGGTGGGAGATGTACACCGATGGAGCTTCAAGTGCGCGAGGATGTGGCGGAGGGGCGGTGATCACCTCTCCTGAAGGGTTCAAAGCGTACCACTCAATGAGATTCGAGTTCAAAGTCACCAACAACGAGGCCGAGTACGAGGCGCTTATTGTAGGGTTGAAATGTGCAAGGGCGCTCGGAGCAGCTCGTCTGAAGGTGAGAATGGATAGCCAGCTGGTGGTTACCCAGATGAACGGAACGACTGAAACCAGGGAGGAGAGGATGAAAGTCTACAAATAGCTGGCGGAGGAACAGACCTAAGAGAGCTCAAGAGAGATTCTAAGGTATTCCATTGGAGGTTTTTGAAGAGAGGTTTTTGAAGAAGAGGATGATATTGGCGAAGGTGTTTAATGAAGAAGATGAGTGTTTGTGTAACACCCTGATAGGCCCGTTCCGTTCCTATCTTTTCACCCATATTTTGGGTGTTAATTGTCTAATTTTTATAATTAACCGGGTGATTATTGGGGGTTTGATTGAAAATTTGTTATTTTCGGTCCCGGTGGCATTCATTTTCAGTTTAGTAGTTTTCCACACAATTTGACATTTTTGGAGTAATTTGATTGTAAAATTGCATGTTATTAGCGAGTATAGTGAGTTGTGACTTTACAGACTGAAGTTTGCGGTGAATAACACATTTTTGTTAAGGCCCGACAATTAGAGGACTTTTGCTAAATATTGGGCTCAACCCAAATGAAAAAAGGGACAGCAGCAGTTTCTATAATTGATAGCAGCCCAAAAAGAGAGAAAAAGGAGCTGGGTTTTCTCCCTGAAAAACAACCTCAGCCGCAAGAGCAGTTCGATTATCAACATTTTTTTTCGTTTCTTTTTACAAGCAGCCGCACGGTAGATCTTTTTTTTCTGTTCGTAGACCACCAGCCGGAAGGAAGTTCATCTCTTCTTTTTTATTCGAAGCTAAAAAACAAATAGCCGCAGCAGGTTCTTTCTTTTCTGGAACAAGCAAGTAATCACCAGTTCTTTTTTTCTTCTCTCTTTTGAACAACGTAGCAGCAAGAAAGAATCGGAGGTTCCTTTCAATGTTTGTCTCAATTTCTTTTAAATTCAATTAGATTCCAAGTGATGATTGGATTGGAGCTTCTTAGTCTTTAGTTATCAACTTCCGATTTTCTCATTTAATTAAGTCATTGTTTTTTTTCCTTTTTTTTCACCTTAATTAATTATTTAACTAGCTCCTTATAGTGCTTATGAATAAAATTGAGATGTCATTTTTTAGTATGAGTAGCTAATTTCCTATAGGGTTTGAATTGGGGTTAGGGTTCATGGGTTCTTGAATGTGTGAATTTAGTTTTTGAAATTTAATTACTTTTCTGGAAAATTGTATGAGATTAATTATAATTGTCTATATGAATTTGATCACCTCATATATGAATGTCTGGATTTAATTCAGTTCTTGTCTATGAGAAATTGAGTTAAATTAGCTCGAATCTTATACAAGCAATCTGATCATAGAAATAAGTTAAGATTGTGATAATTTGATTTAATTCTTGTCTATGAGAACTTATTTCATTTTCTTTCCAGGAATAATTGAAAATCAATTTTACTTAATTTCTAATCCCGAAAGAACACCCAGAACCCGAACCATCCAATTTGAACCCTATTTTACTATCTAGAATCAATTTAATTTTGTTTCTTTTCACTCTATTTATTTTTGCACTTGATTTTTTTAAACCACCCAAAATCATTATTTGGAAAGATTACCATGACTTGTGCTAGCATGTGATCACGGACTGTATTTAAAACATCCTTTTTGCCACTCCTTGAGAGACGATACTCGTAGTCTGGTTATTCTCCGGATTAGCCAACTACGTTTTACTCACTAAAAAAAATACACCGATCACACCCCGGCCCCGCAGGACCCAAGGTAGTTACTCCAGACCTCTAGTACTGTCCTCACAAACCACCACGAGCCTTTACCGCGTACTTTGTCCTCACTCATGCGCGCCCTGAGAAACTTCCCAGGGGGTCACCCATCCCAAGACTACTCCCGTGCAAGCACGCTTAACTTTGGAGTTCTTGGGTGATGAGCTCCCTTAAAAGGAGATGCACCTCTGTTGGTATAAGTAGTACTATTAATCCATTTATATTAAATCTCAAGTATTACAGTTTGTTTGTGAGGATTAGAGAGTAAACAAGTCTATTTATACACGCATGCATCGTTTAAGATTCCTTGGTGGAGAATTCGAAGCTTATTAATGAGAATGCGGCTTTGTTCTTATCTAGATTACAGTTGTAATATAGATAGAAGAGAAGAATTTGATTGGATGAACTCACCGTTTGATGAAGCAGCATTTAGAGTTCAGCTTGATCTCCATGTGTCATGTTTGCATGTTGCATGTAGACATAAATTCTTTTTGCTTTTGGGAAGGTGGCATCAGACTCATAAATGTAGCACCATTACCATGCTTTTTGATTTCTTATCTGCATGGCTTCCTTTGAACAAGTATTTCATACGTGATTTCAGGGATTTGATTAAATTGAGTTTTGAGCAATATTTAGAGGCTGGCTTGTAGATGTCAATTGGACAGGTAGTTGATTTTTCTGGAAATGAGAGTTTCCATTTTGCTTCCTTTTCCTTAGCCTGAAATCCATATGTGAGCTCTCTGTTTGTATGGTAAAACCTTCTACTAGAAGTGGTCCCATGCCAAGTCATCTGTGAAGGCTTTTGCCATGTGTTTGACCTTAATTTGAGATGCCCAATGTTGTAGCCAGAAAGTGAGTTTGCTGCTGATATGGTAGAGTGTCCTGCTGGAAGTAGCCTTCTGTCAAGACTTCTGCTGAGACTACTGCGGAGACTTCTATCATATCTTTAACCAAGAATCTTGGTTCGGACCATAGTGCTTCATTCCCTTTTTCTTTTCCGGACCTTTAGAGCTTCATTCCCTTGTTGTGCTTGAGCAGAATATATCCCCCCTAAGATGATGTTCTTAGAAATTCCTTTTTGAAATGGAATTTTCTAAGAGGTAGTTCCCCTTCAGTTGATGTTTTGGGAATTCCTTCTTTGATATGGATTTCATTGAGTGGAATTCCCCCTAAGTTGATGCATAATCATTCTCCAAGTTGATCAAGATCATCAAGCATTCCAAGTTCTTGCCTCAGAGTATTAAACCTTGCTTCATTTAGAGGCTTGGTGAAGATGTCTGTCAGCTGCTTTTCTGTGGGAATGTGTTCCAATTTGATGGTTTTCTTCTCAACATGTTCTCTGATGAAGTAATGTCTAATCTCAATATGCTTGGTTCTTGAGTGAAACACTGGATTATGGGTTATAGCAATAGCACTTGTGTTGTCACACAGAATGCTAACCTCTTTTGTTTCCTCACCATAATCTTTCAATTGTTGTTTCATCCAGAGTATTTGTGCACAGTAGTTGCCTGCTGCTATGTACTTTGCTTCAGCTGTGCTAGTGGCAATTGAATTTTGTTTCTTGCTAAACCATGAAACAAGTCTTCCTCCAATCAATTGACAAGTACCAGAGGTGGTTTTTCTGTCAATCTTGCACCCTGCAAAGTCTGAATCTGAGTATCCACATAGATTAAAGTCTCCATTTGTTGGATACCATAACCCAGAGTTAGGATTTCCTTTGAGATATCTTAAGATCTTCTTTGTTGCAAGGAGATGGCTCTCTTTGGGCTTTGATTGAAACCTTGCACATACCCCAACTGCGTAGGATATATCTGGCCTACTAGTGGTGAGGTATAACAAAGAGCCAATCAATCCTCTATAAAATGTAGGATCAATGTCTTTGCCATCTTCATCTGGAGTTAATCCCTGTGAGGTGTTCATGGGGATCTTCACAGTAGACTTGTTCTCGACCTTGAATTTCTTCATGAGATCTCTTGTGTATTTAGCTTGGTTGATGAAGATACCTAGTGGGGTCTGCTTCACTTGTAGTCCCAAGAAATAGTTCAACTCTCCCATCATGCTCATCTCAAACTTGTTTTGCATGAGAGTTGAAAATTTCTTACATAATGCTTGGTTTGAACTTCCAAAGATTATGTCATCAACATAAATTTGAACAAGCAGTATGTATGGACCTTCTTCAATTTTGAACAGGGTCTTGTCCATCTTTCCTTTAGTGAATCCATTATTCACTAAGTATTGAGAGAGAGTATCATACTATGCTCTTTGAGCTTGTTTGAGTCCATATAGAGCCTTCTTCAATTTGTACACTTGATCCTTCTCTCTGTTGATTTCAAATCCAGGTGGCTATTCTATATACACTTCTTCTTCTAGTAGTCCATTAAGGAAAGCACTCTTTACGTCCTTTTGATAGACAGTGAATTGCTTATAGGCAGCATATGCCAAGGTTTCATCAAAATCTATACTTTCATCAAAATCTGGCAACAGGAGCAAAAGTTTCATCAAAATCTATACTTTCTTCTTGGCAGTAGCCTTTGGCTACTAGTTTGGCTTTGTTTTTGATAATGATTCCTTCCTCATCCATCTTGTTTCTGAACACCCATTTCGTTCCTATCACATGTTGATGATAGGGTCTAAATACAAGCTCCCATACTTCATTTTTTTCAAACTGGTTGAGTTCTTCTTGCATTGCTTGTATCCAGTCAGAGTCTAACAAAGCTTCTTCAATCTTCTTGGGTTCTATTTGTGAGATGAAGCATGAGAACATTGCTTCTCTTTGGATTGACGATCTGGTACGGACCCCTTCATGTAAGTTTCCAATGATTTGTTGAGGAGGATGTTGATTCAGCCATCTAATGTCAGATGTCGGATTAATTTGAATCTGCTGTTCTTCCTCCTCCTCTTCTTCTTCTCCTTCTTCATTGATTATGGGCAGTATTGGGGTATTAGGAATTCCAATTCCTGCGTTTGATGTTGATTGAACTTGAGGGAGGTTGGTTTTAGATGAGTCAACTGCTGGTAGTAGACTTTTCCTTGATTCACCTGCTGGCAGTGGTCTGCAGCTTGAGTCAACTGCTGCTTCAAGATCTCTCTTTTCTCCTTGTTTTTCATTACTGGGAAGGCAGCTTGGAGCCTCTCCAGCTATCTTCTCTTCTCTAGATGGTTCTCCTTCTTTTTCATTTTGAGCAGAGGGGTGGTTGTCAAAGGTCACATAAATTGATTCTTCTACCACCAGAGTTCTTTTGTTTAGTATCCGGAAAGCCTTGCTAGTTGCTGAGTAGCCCGAAAAGATCCCTTCATCTGATTTTGGATCAAATGGCTTGAGATAGTCTTTTCCATTGTTTAGAATGTAACATTTGCATCCAAACACATGCAAATGACTAATATTTGGCTTTCTTCCTTTCCATAGTTCATATGGAGTCTTTTTGTAAGTCTTATGAATAAGACTTCTATTCTGGGTGTAGCAAGCTGTGTTTATTGCCTCTGCCCAAAATCTTTTGGGCAAGCCTCCTGATTCAAGCATAGTTCTTCCTGCTTCTTTGAGCATCCTGTTTCTTCTTTCAGCAACATCATTTTGTTGAGGTGTTCTGGCTGCTGAGGTTTGGTGATGAATTCCAATTTCTTCACAGTACTGAATTACTATTTGGTTTAGAAATTCAATACCTCCATCTGACCGAATCTTCTAGATTGAGATGCCTCTTTCATTTTGGATCAGTTTCATCAATTCTGGGAGCATTTTCTCTGTTTCATTCTTCCTTTTCAAGAACAAGGTCCACGTGAATCTTGAGTAGTCATCTACCACCACTAGAGTGTACCTTTTGCCACTTAAGCTTGTTGGTTCAACAGGTCCAAACAAGTCAAGGTGCAGTAGGCTTAGTGGTCTAGTAGATGACTCAGCTTCTTTGGTTTTGAATGGTACCTTTGTTTGCTTCCCTTTTTGACATGCATCACACAGATGGTCCTTCTTGAAGTTGATTTCAGGAAGTCCTTTCACCAATCCTTTTCTGGACAGTTTGTTGATGGTTTTGAAGTTGAGATGACTAAGTTTTTTGTGCCATTCCCAACTTAGGTTTGAATCAGATTTTGTAACTAAGCAGATTCCTTCTGTGGATCGTTGCGCTTACCGCTACACTAAAAGCAATCGCTGATAGTGTAGCACGCCCCTCCCCATTTATAGCACATGCGAAGCGCCACGCGGTTCGATTGCACCGGCAGGTTGGCTGTTGCTGGCACCGCATACCCGCGGCCCAACAATCTTCCCCCAGCATCTGCCAGCCTACAACTGAGCAGCATGTTGTTGTCGGGGGTCGAACCCGTGACCTTGGCTCTGATACTAATTGTGGATCGTTGCGCTTACCGCTACACTAAAAGCAATCGTTGATAGTGTAGCATGCCCCTCCCCATTTATAGCACATGCGAAGCGCCACGCGGTTCTATTGCACCGGCAGGCAGGCTGTTGCTGGCACCGCATACTTACGGCCCAACAATCTCCCCCCCAGCACCTGCCAGCCTACAACTGAGCAGCATGCTATTGCCGGGGGTCGAACCCGTGACCTTGGCTCTGATACCAATTGTGGATCGTTGCGCTTACCGCTACACTAAAAGCAATCGCTGATAGTGTAACACGCCCCCTCCCCATTTATAGCACATGCGAAGCGCCACGCGGTTCGATTGCACCGGCAGGCTGGCTGTTGCTGGCACCGCATACTCGCGGCCCAGCAATCTCCCCCCAGCACCTGTCAGCCTACAACTGAGCAGCATGTTGTTGTCGGGGGTCAACCTCGTGACCTTGGCTCTGATACCAATTGTGGATCGTTGCGCTTACCGCTACACTAAAAGCAATCGTTGATCGTGTAGCACGCCCCTCCCCATTTATAGCACATGCGAAGCGTCACGCGGTTCGATTGCACCAGCAGGCTAATTATTGCTGGCACCGCATACCTGCGGCCCAACACCTTCTTTTGCAGTGTCCCAGTCAACAACATACATGTCCTTCCTTCGTCTACCAGTGAGCACAATTTCATCATTTTTGACATCTCTAATCAAGCAGATGTCCTTGGAGAATGTAACGTTGTATCCATTGTCACAGAGCTGGCTTGTGCTTATTAGATTGAACTTCAAACCTTTAACATAAGACATGTTTTGGATTGTAAGTCCTCTTCTGATCAAGTCCCCAGCTCCTTTGGTTTCTCCTTTCTTCTCCTCATTCCCAAATGTTACTTTGGGTCCTTCCCTTGCCATGTAGTTTGACAGTAGCCTCCTGCTTCCTGTCATGTGCCTGAAGCAGCCTGAATCTATGTACCATTCTTTTGAGTCAGCTGCTCCAACACCTTTCTGTATTTATTATTGTTGAGCAGTAGCCCACAGGTTAGTGGACATCTTTCCTTGAACAAGTTTGAGCATCCATGCCCATCTAGAACCATCTAATTCTAAGCAGATTGGTCTATAGCCATTTGGGGTGTTGTATTCATATGGAATGGTTGTGTATATGTTTATCTTCTTTCTCCTGAATGTAGGAGAAGAGTGGTTTCTTGTGGGTTGAGTTTGCTGCTTCTTTGGCTGGTAGTTGGTCTTATTGGTAATTTGCCAACTGGTTCTTTGGTTAACTAGATTGTTTGGAAAGTTTTGTCTGTACAGGGATTTGGATTTTGGTTTGGGAGCATACCGATTCCTTCTTGTGGGAACAAATTGAAAATGGGAGTGTTGGTGGCTAGGAAATTTTGTGTTCTTTTTTATGGTGTATCTTGGGGAGTCTTTTGTGTGTCTTGTGGGGGATTTGTATCCAAGACCTCTATTCTTCCTTCTAGGGATAATCTCAGCAGTAGGGTCAAAGTTGTTACTATCCAAGCTGAGATTATTCATTTGATTTTTCAGCTCAGTGTTCTCTTCATTCAAACTTTTGATTTTAGTCAAGGCATCTAAGAGTTTATCACGAATGTTCTTAGAGTCTTGTTTTAATCTCTCATTTTCAGATCTTAAGAGAACATGGTGATTTTGGACCTTCTGGAAATCTTGAAGTAAGGATTTCAGAGTGATGCTTGATGGTCCAGAATCACTTGAGCTAAAGGAAGAACATGATGTTACCTCTATATCATTGAAGTGGTCATTTACCTTGAAGCATCTGAGAGAACAGTCTTCTTCATCGGTGCCATCTTTGGTAGCTGAACTCCAGACCCAGCTGTTATCTTTCTTAGCATTCTGCCATGCTCCAAGGCATAGTAGTGCTTCTTCTGAGCTTTCTGATGAAGAGCTTTCATCACTTGAGCTGCTATCCCCATCACTTTGAGAATCTTCCTTCTTCTTTGATATTTGTTTGCCAATGGGAGAGGGCACTCATTTTTGTAGTGTCCTGGCTGTCTACTATTGTAGCAGAGGACATTATTCTCACCTGATTGGGGTCTTCCTTGTCTTCTGAATGGCTGAGTGTATGGATTCTTTGAGGTAGATCCTTCCTTCTTCATGAATCTTTTGAACTTCCTCACAAACATTGCAAATTGTTCATCAGTGAGGAGATTGTTGAGTGACTTCTCAGTAGATCTTGATGTGCTTGGTTCAGACATTAAAGCTAGTGTTTTGATCTCATCTTTCCTTTCTTCTTTGATTTCCTTCATTTCAAACTCATAAGCTTTTAAGTCACTAAAAAGCTTATCTGTTGAGAGACTTCTGAGATCTCTGCTATCACTCATTCACTCATAGCAGTCACCTTCATGTCCCACTTGGAGGGCAGTCCTCTCAAGACCTTAAGGGAAATTTCCTTTTGGGAGAGAACTTTCCCTAGGTCAGAGATCCTTGCAATAATCTTCAGAAATCTACACTCCATTTCAAGGACTGATTCGTTAGGCAACATTTTGAAATCTTCAAACTTTTTAAGAACAATTGTCAGCTTGTTGTCCTTTTCTTGCTCATCACCTGCCTCAATCTTTGTTAGTTCATCCCAGACATCTTTAGCAGTTTCACATTTCCTTATCCTGGGAAATATGGATTCATCCACTGATTTGAAGAGGATGTCTCTAGCAACATTATCAAGGTTGTTTCTCTTTATGTCTTCTGTTGTCCATTCCATTTTGGGTTTTGGAATGTACACATCATCTGCACCTTCTGCTGTTTTGGATGTGATGACCTTCAAAATCTTGATAGGTCCATTGGAGATTACTTCCAGCATTTCATCATGTAAAGCACTGAGATGTGCTTTCATTCTTATCTTCCAATCATCAAACATGTCAAAATTGAACAGGACATTTTTGGAAAGCTGATTGTCCATTTTTAGAAAGTATTGGGAGTGAAGTGGGTTTGGATCTTTAGTTCAAAATAGTCAGAAACTGACTCTAGGAACACACCGCTCTGATACCACTTGATGAACATTAGGATTAGGAACGATACCTTGGAATGCAGTCGTCAAAGTCTCCACTGCCCTCTAAAACGTCGCCAAACTTGCCAAAGCCTGTGCTGGATCCACGGTGGGAATATTATGCCCAATACCCGGCGTCTGGAATTGCGGTGGACGCACCGCCGGGTGCCTAGAGTGTCTCACGTCGTGGATCTGGTTTCTTAAGTCACCTTGTGTGGTGGCGTTGTCGTTGCGCCTCCTGAAGTCACTTCGGCGTGACCTCGATCCTTCGTCTTCAATCAGAACATGATTGTATCGATCTCTGCCTTGATTGCTACCAACGCGATTGTGGCTATTTGAATCAACCATCGTTGCTTCGTATATTCTTCTCTCTACGAGAGCACCAAATGATGGAGTTAAATCCAACTACGAGAGCTTAGATATACGTAAATATGAAAATAATATGGCAACGTAAGGCAGTATTACTCTTATTCCAGAGAACCGAGGTTGCGATCTTAAGAATTCGATCGGTCTCCCCTTGGTAGGGTGTTTACATCGAGTATTTATAGATATTAGGAAGTAGTATTTTAGAAGGAATCTCATACAATAAATGCTAATTAATGAACTATATTCTTGCTCGAAATAGAACTCCTTAAGTCCTTCCTTCCACGTGATTGCCTTCTCCTTTTAGTTGTAGTTCTCCGGATGAGTTCTACCTGTTGCCAAATATCTATCATCGAATGACAGCTTGCCACGTAAGCCCTAGGAATATCCTGGCCTCACTAGAACTCCGCCCAGGCTCGAGGTCTGCTTCGCAGCCCGACCTGGCTGTGGATTCCATCGTGGGCCTAATTCTCAATGGGCTAAGCGGCTTACCAATCATAAATCCCGTTTATGGGCTAATCCTGTTAATTAGGCTAATCCCGTTAAGGGCTGATCACGTTTATGGGCTGATCCTGTTAATTAGGCTAATCCCGTTAAAGGCTGATCCCGTTTATGGGCTGATCCTGTTAATTAGGCTAATCCCGTTAAGGGCTGATCCTGTTTATGGGCTGAATCATGTAATTGGGCCATGGGCTGAATCCATGGTACCATCATCCCTGATCTTAGAATATAATTTGCATCGTTTTTCTTGAATAAAATCAAAATCGTTTTTCGATATGATGTATTCAAGTTCAGAAGCTTTCAACTGTTTAGTTAAGTCACAAACTTTTACTTCTAACTTTTCCTTTTCTAAGGTTACCTTCTTGACCCTTTCTTTTTCGTTTTCCAGTTGTAGGGTGAGTGAGCAAGTCTTATCCAGCTGCTGTAGTAAGACTCGGTGATTGTTTGCTAATCTCTCTTCCAATTGTTTGATAATTTGTTGATTGTCAGATTGCCTTACCTCCAGCTTATCAGAAATTTCAGCACATTGATTCTTACACAATGATGAGTTGGAGGTATCCATTGTTGATTGTTGAATGTTGAGCGTAGACGTGAGGTTGATTGAAGTTTCTGACCTTTGGTGTTGGAGTTTTGGACCTTGAAGTTTAGAGTGGCTCAAAACTAGCTCTTGAAAAAGATAGATGGAAAGTGTACACTTTCAAGCAAAGGTGTAAAGTGAGTTTCTTTAACTTTCCCACACCTAAACTCTGGAACTTTTGAGCCTTTATATATGAACCACTCCTCCTTTAGTATTAAAAGGTGAATGAGAAGAGGGGAGCTCTCGTGCATACAAGAATTCTGGCGTTCAGTTCAGAATCGAAAATTCGCACCCCCTGCGCGGGCGACCTGCGGACACGATAGCCGTAAAATTCAGCGGGTCTCAAAAGACAATTTTGCCCCTCTTGCCTTTTTTTTCGAACTTATTCCCCTTTTTTTTTTCTCATACCAAATTTGTATGACTCTAAATCATTTATACTTTATTTATACCTAATCCATTCAAAATCGATCACATAAACTAACTTTTTTTTATAAACGTGTTACCCCCTCTTATACTAATGTTACTCGTAAGGAGGTAGTATTTCCAATTTGGATTGTGTCCTTAAGCCCAACCCTCGGGGTATATAAAGAGGGCTGAAACCTCTTTTTGTTTTTTTGAGAATATCATCCCCATAATCATCACCCACGCGAGAGAATCTCGGTTGATCGCCGCAGCCACCTCCGGAGAAACATCTGCAAGAATCACACTTCCAGGTGAGGGATCCATCTTCAATCTTGCGTGGTAACAAGTAACATATTTTATGGTTTTGGTTGTAAATGAATCGAAGAATTGATCGGTTCAAACGGATACAGTTTCTACGTCAAACCATATGTTTTAACTGGTAGGATTTAGATTTTTAAGAAATACTTGGTTCTAAAAAACTCAACGCCTCAATTAAGCCTCAAATCGCTTCTTTAAGCGTACACCTTGCCTGTAAATTGCGTTCGCCATAGTCTGTACCTATAAAGTTTCTGCCTCATTGCGCTTTTGGTGAAGGTGATTCTTTACGTGATTGTGTGATCATGAAGTCTCTGTGCTGAGATTGAAATGCTAGGTCGACCTAAGTGAATTTGATGGAATGGTACTATGCTGATTCCTAATAGATTTGGCATTGTTTTTGCGACTATTTGCTTACAAGGACACAAATTATGAGTAGAGATATCTTTTCAGTAGTTTATTTGTGAATACTTATGTCAAACACTATCTCTGAAGTTGTAGTTATCTATCAGCTACATATCAAATCCAGTCACTCTCTTAATCCCTAAAATTGATCTGTCTTTTATTTTCTGTCTACCAGATCCATTGTTCTGAACAATGAAGCGGGTGCAATGTCCAGAAGTGCGTCTTACAGCAGAGGACAAGGATTTCCATTTTAAACCTTGTTTAGATTATTACATGTTGTTGTAGTATTTTTGAATTTAACTGGTTGGTTTTTATAATGTGTTGCTACGGTCATGATTTCAATTTCTACAGTTCCTGTGAAAGAAGTATCAAACTTATCTAGATTCCTTGATTTAGTTGTTCATACGTTGACAAATTATTGTCTAAAATCAAATGGTTTATTAACCCCAAGTGATCCGTAGCTGAAATGCAGTTTCACAAACTTTTCTTGTGGGATGATCAACATCTATACTCCTCTCTGTTTGAAAATTCTCTTTCGAAGATGATGCGCTGTTTCTTAAATGCCTTATGATTTTTTCAAACCATCTTACAATTTCTTGACTTCTGCTTTTTAAGAGGTTGACTGATTATGCTTTTGCTGCAATTGCAGGTAAAGTGGACAAAAGAGAAACAAGAGCAGTTATTTCGCCTAGTGGATGCTCATGGCGGAGATTGGAAAACCATAGGTGCCACACTGGGTACCTCCCCTAGTCTGTGTCGTTCACTACATTCTCTCCTCCTTGCAGACAAACAAGCTAAAAGAAATGAATCCCTTGACCCTCAATGCTACTCTGCTTGGAAGAGGCAAGCTTATTTTAAAAAAAAACTACATCTTACCCCAAAGAAAAGCTGCACTGCCTTACCAGCCATTGGTGAGTAATATTAAAGCAACCCGTTCCTCTCAATTTGCTGGATATGACAGAAGCATTCTGTTCTTTTCAGTTTGCTCGATATATGACATAAGTTAATTTGATGAGTGTGATCTAAGATGTCTTTTTCTTTCAAAAGTGGGCGCTTGGTAGAGTATCCTTGGGATTCATATTGTGAAGAAAGCATCAATTATTTTATTGCGAGATATTATTATTTTTGAAAATCCAATAATGTTCTAGAGAGTTCATGTTATTTTATGCTCTTAGTGGATAAGCATAATTAGTATGCAGTGATTGTAATGTTTAGCAATGGACACTTGTATATTATTTTAATGTTATCTACATGTCAGTGATTATAGCCTACATCCTTATAAATAAGGGGTGGCTTATAGCATTGTGTGGGGTGTTAAATGAATTCTGAATTTCCCTCTGGGAGGTAGTTGTACATTGTGTAATCATTATAATGTTTCAGTAAGTTTAATTATCTTACCGACCACTACTTCCAGCCTCATCAGTCAGGTCAAGGCTCAAGCAGTTTGCAGGGATGAACAGATTTAAAAAGATGGCCTTAAGGGTAAGGATATGCCAAGCCATGATGCCACGTAAATCACATCCTATGAATGCCACGTGAATTTGGTCGTAAGTAATGAATTTCATTCATATTACAAAATTAATGATATAGGTCATAGGTGAACATCTTTCAGCTGAAAGGGAAGAGTTGATCCGAATTATGTTCACTCTTTTGGATACTGACCATGATGGAAAGATTACATGCACCGAGTTTAGTGCTGGGCTAAGAAAGGTTAAGGATTCTCTGCTAGACAAGCCAGAAGTCTTTATGCTTATGGAAGTGGTATTTTTCTCAGCATTTTTTCTAATACTACCTCCATACTAATACGTAGTATAAGTGCTAAATCGTGGAATAGTTTACATCGCTTATGAAGTGCTATTGGACAAAGGCGTAATCAAGCTTGTTTCTTTTGACTCTCAACATCTTCTTTTCAGACATATAATCTGCTGTAGCAGTAAATAGGCCTCCTCCCCTCTCTCTGATGACATTTGTGGTCTTCGTATGTTAGAACTAATTGTAGGTGCTTGCAATCTCAGGCTGATATTGATCGGAAAGGTTACGTGGATTACGGAGATTTTGTAGCAGTGGCAATCCATCTACAAAAGATGGAGATTGACGAGCACTTTCAAATAGCTTTTTCTTACTTTGATAAGAATGGAAGCGGCTATATTGAACTGGATGACCTACGTGAAAGGTTGGCAGCCAAATCAGGAGAACCTGATGCAGGAATTCTGAATCTGATCTTGAGTGAAGTTGATACTGATAAGGTAAGCTCCCTTCATTTTCCTTGTTTATCCAAATCTTGGATGTTAATGGATCACAAACATGTTTCTGACATCAATCTTGTCTGGTAGGATGGACGTATAAACTACGAAGAATTTGTGGCAATGATGAAGAAATACTGAATCAAGGGCAGGTGTCATAATGATAAACATTTTTATGCTATATTCCGAACTTTATGATGTCATTTTTATGCTTGTGACATACATTATTAGTTATAACCATGGGTATGTTGTTTTTCGTTCAATGGAAGTGCACTTATGTTTTAACTTTCAAGTATACAAAATGCACATATGTTTTCATTGTTATTGCAAATTGGAATCAACAATGCAGATCCCATGAATATAGAGTGCATTTTGTTGTAATTTTCTGCATTAGATATTTGCAAGTGTGCCGTATTTAGAATAATAGAACAACTCCTTTCCGACGTATCAATAAATAAATAAATAACGTTCAGGTTCTGTTTTTGGGAGTTTTGGGGGAAAAGATTTTATTAAAAACATAATCAAAAGACGAACATAATTAGAATGCTTTTTATTGGATTCAATTTTTTTTGTCTGGCCTGGAATCTGGATTGATATGTTTAAATCTAATCTAGTTTAGTCTGAATTGATATGGTTTGATAAGTTTCTGGTCTATGTATCTTATAACTGTCAACTATGTAGCACTGATATGGCTATGCGGAAACACGAGAACGGGTACGAGGATACAAGAAAACAAAAAGTAGGATACGAATATGGGGGCATATTTATAAATAGGCTAAAGGGTCAAATAGGCTCTTGAACTAACTTAAAGTGTTCAATTATCTCCTTATATAGAAGGTTCTGCACGGCCGTCGCCAATTGGGGTGGTTCCCGGAGGAATTTTTTGATGAAATTTTTTGAGCATCTTCTTCATTAAGTCTAGTTTACTCATACCAAATTTCAGCTAAAAATGCAACCGTGAAGGCAGTCAAATGACATAAAAAAATTCCTCCGGGAACTGCCCCAATTGGCGACGGGCCGGGCAGAACTTCCTATATAAGGGGCTAATTGAACACTTTAAGTTAGTTCAAGGGCCTATTTGACCCTTTAGCCTTATAAATATTAAAAGTTATGGGGGTGCATTTATAAATTTTAAAAATTATAGAGGTGTATTTATAAATGTTAAAAATTACAAGATTTTTTTTATATACATAATACATATGATCCTCTGGCCTCTTTTCATTTATGGTTGTTGGGTTAATGGCCCAAGTAATAGTTTGGCCCATTTATCCTTTACCCGGACGTACGTCTGACAAACCGGTAGGCTGAGCTAGCAGACAACTTGGAAGAGACGAACGTCGTCACCAAAGTCTGGGCTTACCAGCCATGCCGACGAACATCTACCCAGTTGATAGGAAACAGGCCCACAGGCCACATGAATGACGACGAATGTCGTCAGAGCAAGCCCATAACCACTGGAGGCAATCCAGTCCACATGGCAAATCCCCCAAGGGCTAGGGGACGAATGGCCCAATACCCTTTGCAATATCACCAGGAGCGACTCACCTCCCCAGCTGGACGAATGTCCCCACTAATTAGGCGGGGAATTTAGATTCTGGCGGGAACCGCATTTAATGCTGAAGATTTGGTGGTTGGGACACCAGCCATCCACAATCCTCCACGTCAGCATAGCCAACTGCCCATTGGTAGTATAAATAGCAGCATTTATTTCATTGTAAGGGGTTAGTAACTTTCTATTCTTAGCACTCTAGCTTATAGCCTTCTTACTCGCAGCTCTTCTTCTGCCTTGTAAGACGAACGGCCGACGAGTCTAGCGAAAAGTATTGTATCGGGGAGTTATTAACAGATTAATAATACTAATCACTCACTTGCTTCCTCTTGTTTCTTAATCCATCTCATTTGTTAGTTGGGCTACTTATTCATACACTCCACGTGAAATTCTTGGGCTTACGTGTTGGACTCAAGGGTTGAAGGAATAAACCTCAACAACGGTATTGAGGCATTTCACATTGTCAAGATAGTTAGAAATAAATTCATTCTTTATCTCATATACACTAGTACATTTTGAAATATAAATATAATCAATAAGTTATTAATTTAAAATGAGAAAAAAGTCAACCAATCACAATTTTAAAATTAAAAATGCAAGTACTCAAAATTTTTGGATAATGGAAATCGAAAACAATACTCTAATAAAAAACATATTTTCACTTAGAGCCACTAATTTGTAAGGATAACAATATAACATTGTCTTCCAAAAAGACAGGCTCCGATTCTAGTTCATCTATGGAAAGGTTGGTGAACTCAAGTTATCTCCATCAACATCCCACATTTTACTTGTCGTCCATATACTTGGTTGTGTGCGTGATTGAACCAAGGTAAAATTTAATTTTAGTTTTTCATTTTAAAGAATTTTATTATTGAAATTGTGGGTGTTTTTTATAAAATAAAATTGATATGAGTATTTGTCAGGATACGGTTTAATCCCGTGTGCGGGATATGAGTAAAAACAGATTAATGAATTGCCAAAAAAGTTGGAAACTTATAATAAATTACGGGTACGATCCGGGAATGTACGATACGGGTATCCTAGAGTATTTGATATGGGAACATTTTCGATACACCGATATGGTACCCTAGTGAAGTATCCGTGCTTCATGGACTATCGAAGTCTCATTTGGTCAGATGTGAGACTAAAAACAGTTAAGTAAAAACATTCTTAGTGGTAACAAAATATTTCAATCACTCTTCATCATTAGAAGTAGGGGGTGTAGTGGTCCCAATTTTACTTTTGGATTGGTCCGTCCTATTATTTATTGGATTGGAACTTGTTCCCATTCCATGCCGGTGACAGTCTATTGATTGGTAGCGGTAGCGAATTAAAAGTAAATAAATAAATAAATAAATAAATAAATAAATAAATAAATAAATAAATGGGTGGGTGGACGGACGGAGGGATAAATAAATAAATAAATAAATAAATAAATAAATAAATAAATAAATAAATAAATAAATAAATAAATAAATAAATAAATAAATAAATAAATAAATAAATAAATAAATAAATAAATAAATAAATAAATAAATAAATAAATAAATAAATAAATAAATAAATAAATAAATAAATAAATAAATAAATAAATAAATAAATAAATAAATAAATAAATAAATAAATAAATAAATAAATAAATAAATAAATAAATAAATAAATAAATAAATAAATAAATAAATAAATAAATAAATAAATAAATAAATAAATAAATAAATAAGTAAGTAAATAAATAAATAAATAAATAAATAAATAAATAAATAAATAAATAAATAAATAAATAAATAAATAAATAAATAAAACAAATGAGATTGGTCGATTGGATGAGAATTGAACTGACCTGTTTCGGTCAATAATCTAGGCCACCCAGGATTGGGACCCTAAACCTTCTAGGTCGATTACTATTTTTGACCTGGGATGGTACCACTTAAAATCCTGGTCGCTTACTACTTGATCGGCCCCGTGACTGAAATTCGTGTCCACCCCCTTTTGTGTGCCCCCTTTTGAGAAGTACTTTATCAAGATATAGAGTCTTAATTTTTAAATCAGATCAGAAAGATTAATACCGTATCGAAAAAGATTAGACCCGATCGTAAAAATTAAAATCAGAAACATTTAGATCAGATGAAAAGAATAACTTCTCTATATATTTTACATGTAGCATTACCATAATAAAAATTAAAATTAAAATCGGACTAAACAGAGTAATGTCACAAAGTACCAAACATTTTCATATTTCACTACTGCAAAATATATTTATATTAATCCACGGTTTAAACGATAAGATCACTATCATTAAGTAACATGAAAGATGAAGTGTGTCGATATAGAGCACGAATGATTGAAAAAAATCATGAATTTAATTTTAATAAAGTGAAGAAAAAATCATTAAAAAATTATAATTTAAATAAAACAAAATATATGATATAATAGGTCTTCTATTCATAGTTTTCAACCATTGAGATGCTATGTAAACACACTTTATTTTTCAGGTTCCCTATTGACAATGAACTTATCTCTCACGTTTTCGATTGATAAAATTCATAAAAATTATGGAATAGTAAATTACTAATATTATACGATCTAATCCCAAATATTATACTGAACATATGTCTAAAAATATCCGAATATATATTCATATATGTGTGCTTTTTGATATATTCGAATTACCTTGATTATGTTTCATTATAAATAAATCCAAATGTGTTTTATTGTATCATTTAATCTTTCTAAATTCATTCGGTAATTAATGTAAGAATCATTTATTTTAATTTAATCTAATTCGATAATAATAAATCCAAACTAATATTTAATTCTTTTGACTATTTTTTTTATCGAATTAATTCTTTTTACTATTAACTAAATAATACATTAATTTTTGGGGAAATGGAAACTAATAATCCAACCTTTTAACGGTATTCTTACAATAATCTCATCTTCATTCGCGGAATACATAAAAAGGAAAGAAAAATTTTAGGAAGAAAAAGTAAAAATCATATTTGGGACTGTTTCGAGAAGATTTGTAGAAGATGGGATTTGTGTTTGAATGATTTGCAAGGAAAAAAAAACTTGGAATAGTAGGTCAACAACCGGTTAGAGACCAACGAATGAAGATGAGATGCAAAGGTTGAATTATTCCTGAATTACAACAAGATGAGATTATTGTAAGAATACCCCTAAAAAGTTGGATTATTAATTTTCATTTTCCCTTAATTTTATTATTTAATATTAGAGGGGAAAAAAATCAACTTAAAGTGACAACGTTATCCAAGATGAGTAATAACAATTTATACCTTATTATAATTCTCCAAACCCACTTATACTATTATCAGAAGTATTCATTATTATTAATATTATTATTAGTATAATAATTACTATTATTATTATTATTACTATTATTATTGTTACTATCATCATCATCATTATTAGTTACTATTAGGACATTCTCTTCCATAGATTATTTTTGGGATCATTTTGATGATGTGGTTATTTTTTTTTTGGATCATGGATGAGGAGCAATCATTTAGGGGGCTTAGCTGGTGATCCGGGCTGTTTCCTGAGATTATTTTTTGAGATTATTTGATAAAATAATTCTGGATTATTTTGAGATTGTTCACAAAATCACAAACTTTTAGACTCTTTCTCCCAAATCTAGGAACACAAGGATCATTCTTGGTGTACACAAGTTGTACACAAAATGTGTACATTGCCTGTGTACACAGACAATTTGACATCAAGTGTTGCCCCTTTTTAAACGAATTGTCTGTGTTAGTCCTGGAATCGGGCCGGGCGGACCGAACCGGGCCCGACCCGGCCCGCTCACTGTAGCAACCGGCCCGACCCGGTCCACCGGGCCTCAGGCGGTTCGGGCTTACCCGGCCCGGGTGAAGGGCGGTCCGGGCTCGGGCCTTTATTTTCT